GATTAAATAACTTGCAAATCTGATTAGTTGTGAAACATTTTAAATATTTAAATACTAAGTGTCGTGAATAAGTGATCGATTAAATGGTTATCGATTAAGCTCGTTTTATGCTAAACGTCAACTGTCGTTAGTTTCGTGTTTACGAGAACGCTACTACATATACTCTGCTCAAGCTTTTAGACTAATTGTGAGATATTTACGCAAGGAACGTTCAGCGTGCATTCAATTAAACTTATCTCGTCAATTTATACTTTGCTAAATGTAAAGAAGTTTGAAAATCACATTGCACTTTTTTTACTACTCGAATTATTTCGTCATGACGTAATACCAAATCCTTCTTCTACGAGTTCTAATTAAGAAAAAACTTTAAAATTTACGACTGAAGGTAAAATTGCTGCGTATTAAATTTATGAAAAATGTTCGGTTAAACGCGAACGGATAATTAAAATGTAATACATGCAATATATAATTTTTTAATAATGCCTTCACGTTATATTAATACTATAATAACAATATTTCTATTAATTCAATTACACGGTTAATAAAAATTCAGTTTATAACTATTACTTTCAAACAAATAATTATAAATATAATAATGATAAGATATAAATTATTATATCTCTCATTATTACGATATAACGAGAATAGAGAAATTCTCATTTATTTATGAATGTTTGATAATATTTTTAATATTTCGAAATACGTGCTTAATAAATGTAAAGTATACATTCTAATTAAATTCTAGTAAACGTATCTTAAAACAGTTATATGATATGATGGCGCTAACCGATAAATTTTAACCGATAAATTTTAACTCTTTTAATTTTTTTCTGGCATTCTTACAATATATTACACTTTTTCATTATTACTTCGTAGAAGTACATCCTTCGCAAATTGAAAAGAATTATATTTCTATCGTAATGATGTATTACGCCTATCATAAGATATTAAACATTGTTAAATAAATGATTATATACATAAACAGATGCAATCTATTTTTCAGTAGAATAAAGCCGTATATGGTCAGACATGATTAGATTTATATCTTTATGACTATAAAGGAGAAATTTTTTCGTCATACTTAAACTCTTAAACCTATATTTATTTGGAAGGATAGAATGGTTTCCATTAATTATGAAACTATGGAAGCCTATTCCACACGCTCATAATAGCCTGATTAATTAATATGTGGTTAAGCTGAACTATCAATATACAAGGGTTGGCCCGCAGCAGCCAAGGCAACATTCCCAAGCTAGTATCTCCGATTACGGTAGCGTAATCATTAGCGATATTGTAATTACCGGCGAAATATCTTTGCGGCCAATTATACGGAAGCCTCAATTTGTCAGGATTGTCGTTATTGGCATCGTAATTATTGGTCGAAACAAATGCGACCGATTTCTGGTTTGCAGCTAATGTAGATATGTTAATATTAATGGTTTAGGATTGGCGGAATCATGTTAAGTTGCTCACAAATATCACGATCAGAATAGCGTTACAAATATAGTTCTACGGAGGTGACTAATCTTGATGAATTGCGTGTTTAATTACGTTAACTGGATTTACGTCTGTATCAGTAAGGATTAATAGATTTTGTGAAATCGTAAGGTATATTCCACTAATATGTGCTACAGCATTATACAAAAATAGACGTACAATTTGGTAACGTGGAAAAAATTAATGTGTGATCACAGACTTACAATTAAATAAAACTGGATATTAATTTAACATTTGTCGAATGAGACGGGTAGCGTTCATATTTGATAATTTCATGCATCCAATTTTAAATGCCGTTTGCTGTTACAAGCGAGAATTCAACATTCCATTAGGAATTATTAATTTTCGCGGACACGCAAAATCGTAAATAACCTATTCATTGATTTAGACCAAACACCAACAAGTCATAAATAATCTGTTCGTTAATAACACTTGATGAGAGTTTAAAACAAGCGGTACCAATTTGTCCAGTTCGTCATCCACTTTTTGAACATTTACCACTTTCATGAGTACAATTATAATTTATAAATTTCCACACAAATGCAATAATGCAAAATGTCTATATATATATATGTATAAATACACACGCACACACGCACGCACGCACGCACACACACACACATATATATGTATGTATGTATATACATTTATTGATAAATGAATGAACAACTCTCTCAACATTAATAATGCAGTTTTATTGCGACTAACAAACAATACATTATTTATCAGAGATGAACCTTTTCGTTATATTTTTAATTGTTACAAATAATATTTAATTATAATATACCTTTTTAATTGTAACAAGTATTGCGTGTTTAGACCGTTTTATTGTATTAAAGTTCATTTTAAAGGTCTATGTACGTTCAATCTCAACAAATTACGAACGCATGGTCGACGAGGCACTCAACTACACAATATTCCAAAGTCAAGGTAGTTCCTGATCAAAGGAATTTACGTTAATCGACTTGCTGTTGCTTGATACAGATTGAGCTACTACATTCATGGTACTACGTTTTCACTAATTTAAAACAGGCCATAGTATATATACATATACAGAGAGAAGTGAAACTGGGCCTGTTAATTTAATATAATCATTTAAGAGATTTGTGGGTTCTACAGATTGTTAAAATATGTCTCTAAATCACCGTTATTTCTTTTGATAAGAATACCTAATATACGTTTTTTTCCGTCACAAGTAAAATAATTAAATAAATTACATAGGTACTCATGTTAACGTATTTATTATACTAGTTCCATTTCTATTGTAACATTGTTCATTAGAGGCACAGATTGCTACGCAAATATTATTTTATTGTGCCAAACTTGATTGTGGCTTTGTGTTGGAAACAATATATGTGAATAACTACTGTTACGTTAAAATAACATTATTTGATAATGTTAATGTAGTTACAAATCCAATTAAATAATGTATTTTATGATGTCGATATTAAAGGTATGAGTTTATTATTTACATACATATTTCAATTGTTCTCAGTGGCTAAATTGATTTTCGTTTGGTACTTTAGTCAAATTTTTTGTGAAAATCTCAAAATATATTATATAACTAAAAGATATACAACCAATCATGAATAGACTGGATTAATTAATCAATGGTTTCAATAATTGCAATAGTTATATATTTTAATGATTTATTTGCACATAATGTGACAATTATACTAAATAAATAACATAATATATGCACATAACATAGTAATGAATATGAAAGTGCAGTGTTCAAATATGCCAATATAATTTGATAACAAGGTGCGTACAATACTTATTATAACTCATAAATTATTCTAAAATTATAGATAAATTAAAGAGAGAATAAGATTGACTATAACGCATAAGTATATACAGACATGTTTCAAGAAATATAGTAAAAAATTAACGAAAGGAATACTCCTATAGCTGTTACTTCATAGACATAATTATTTATAGATATCTATAGATAAAGAAACATCAATTCTTTCATTTAAATATTTATAACTATTAGCAGGATAAAATCTAACCCTTTTAGTTTAATCGCTATTAAATTAGTAGTATAAAGATTGAAATAAAACAGCATTTATTTGTATACATATATGTTTATTAAATATACATGCTTCTAAATTTTTATAAAAATGTTTCGTGTTCAAATTACAGCTGTGTAATACATTTTAAAATTATTTCGAGTTGATCATTAAAGATCATATTGGACAAGACAAATCGGCTCTTCTATGGCGATTAATCATCTACTCGACTAGTACTTGGCAGAGCAGCAAAGTACTTGTATTTAATGAAATAACGTTATATTATAGCAGTATTTTCTGATTCAGAGAATATTTTCTCTGATTAATCGAATTAAATTATCGATTATACATACATTATGAGGATTATGAGACTTAAATTACACATGTGCGCGCGCGCGACCACCGTCGAAAGTGAAATAAATGCTGACAGCGAACTTTATCTTTAATGTACGGATTATTGAAATTTCAATATTAGAAAATTCATCATTAGAATTTTATTAGCAATTTTAATTTTAATGACAGATTTCTAATTATTGCGATATATTATCTGTGAGTTCAAAAGATTACAGTATCCTTACTTTTATGTTAAAAGCAACTAAAAATAAAAAATTCCTTAAGGAATAAAAAGCATAATCTAAAGTATTTACTTAAATCCAATCCCTGCTCTACATTGTCTTTTAACATCTCAATTCTGTGTTGTGACCTTGATGCTTTTTGCTTAAATTGGATCGGATAAAGTCAAATGGAAGAAGTATCACATGAAATAAAAATTAAAACTTTCTATTACACTAAAAATTTAAAACTTTCTAAAAAATTAAAACTTTCTATTACACTTTGTATTTCAAAACAATAGAGTGTAACCAAAACGAGGTCAGTCGGTCAAGCGTATTTCTGCGTGAGATAGGTCGAACTACATTCACAGTCGTCGTTTTGCTTTTCGCTTTTCGAAAAATGGGCGTGTCTGTGATAAAGGCGCAGAAATAAATTTAACGGGAAAGAATAACGTGGCGTAACTGGATGGTGGTAGTAAAAAATTAAAATTACGTGTACCATTTTATTCCTGCAACTAAGCGATAGTATTCGGCAACGAGATAAGCTTAATGGTTATACTGATGAAAAGAAAATCCATTTGATTTTACTGGATTATTGTAACTTGTAGAATATGGCACCGATTGCTTGTCGATATTTATTCAATTAGCTAATACAATCGCTTTGTAAAATTAAAAAAAAGTGAAAGCAAATCGGAAAAAGGAATTCATTATAAATACACATAAACGATTGTTATTTCCACGAATATTATTTTGTAACTTTCAAATGATTGACAATAATTAATCGTGTCGTGTTAAGAGATACTATATATGGATGGTAATAAAATAAAAAAAACTTTTAAAAATTTCCTCTAATAATAAGGAAATAAATATGGTAAAAAATTGGAATATTTTTTATTTATTAGAATTACTATTTATTATGAAATAATTGTTTGTGTTTCAGCTATCTTAGACTCGCTTTGCAAGGAGTTTCTTTCGGTGAACGTATCGGCCATCTTATATCTTATGAACTACGAGCAATACGGACGCAGTACGGCCAGCGCTCAATATTTTCTTCAATTGGCCGGTTACTTAGGAATTCCTGTGATTGCGTGGAATGCCGATAATTCTGGTCTGGAGAGAGTAAGTTATTACAACTAAAATGAGAAAAAAGTAAAAGAACTTTTTAATGTGTTCCTGCGCGTAAACAATATCTACAGATGAATTTTTCATTACGTCAAAGAATGTCTCAAGTTATATTGAAATATACGAGATGAAACAGCAGTTTGCAATAAAGCAAGTTCGGACTATTTACTTTTTCTCGTTCTGCACATAGAAATATTTTTTATAACATATAAAAGTGAAGTTAAAATTGAACTAAAATATAGTTTGTGTAAATAAACATATAGTTCGTGTACTTCGTCGACATTCACGAAACATAACGGGAATTCCGTTGGTTTGTAGCGGGCGTCGCAGAGTAGCCTGCAGCTGCAACTGGCACCGTCGCTGGAACATCAGACCGCGGCGATGCTGAGTATCCTGGAGAGGTACAAGTGGCATCAGTTTAGCGTAGTCACCTCGCAAATAGCTGGTCACGACGACTTCATACAGGCGGTCAGAGAGAGAATCTCCGACATGCAGGACACATTCAAGTTCACCATACTGAGCGCCATTCTGGTTACCGAACCGCACGATTTGCTCGAGTTAGTTAAAAGCGAGTCGCGAGTGATGCTACTGTACTCGACCAGAGAAGAGGCTACTCATATCCTGACCGCTGCAAGGGAATACAAAATTACTGGCGAGAATTATGTGTGGGTCGTCACGCAAAGCGTTATCGAGAATCTACAAAGTCCCAGTCAGTTTCCGGTCGGAATGTTAGGTGAGTCGCTAAACTATTCGTATCTATGTTCGCGGTCACTGGATTTACACATTCTCCTAATTTTAAAATACCATGAGGTCCGTGTGTACGAACTTCCAGTCAAATTGTGCGTAAACTATAATCAATATTATAACGTTCACGAAAATAAATAAAAAATTGTGACACATTTTAATTAAATTTACAATTTTTATATATAGTTTTAGACTAAAATTTTCTGCGATAATTTTATATCTGAAAAATTAAGCATTCTTCTGTCAGAAGCCTTCTTTCTCGTTTTATAATTAATTGAAAGAAGATCAAAATATATTCACAAAATTTAAAGATTACGTAATATCAAATACGTATTTATTATATTTTAGTTTAAAACTACATAAAAATATTATTAATTAGTCTAACACTACATAAAAATTATAAAACTATGTAAAATTAATTAAACTTATAATAAAAATTTAATTAAAATATATATTACGTTGAAAATAAATTAAAAATAACTATCTTTTCTAATTAAAAGAAAAACATAATGCATATATATATATGTGTGTGTGTACACAGTGTAACACGAAAACAATTCTAATTTAATCATTACACAGAATTCATTTAAAATAATGTATAATCTCACATCTCTTTCGAATGTGCTAGGCGTCGCGGTAAAACGGAGTATTTACGTCGGTTACACATATGTTAACATTCAGAGTACGCCTTTTATTGGTAAGAATGCATGGCTTTCGGGCGGTTAAACGGAAGAGTTATTCACACCGTGACCAGAATCGCGGAAACAGAAAATTGATTTCTTCCTTGAGAATTTTCTAAGAATATCCTTGAGAGAAAAATAAATTCGTCGAATTCCTTCTGGTGAACCATGTAGAATAACATAACTTAGATTGAATCTCTCGCGTCTGAATTTCTGTGAGCTAAAACTAGTGCGGTAAACTCGTTCTATGTATATAGAACGCAAACACCTCGTGCTCTTAAAACACGATTGCTATGAATCAAGCAAAGCAAACGTTGCTTGCTTATATTTAATATTCTCTGTCTTTTCCTTTCAAGTTCTTTCTGTTGCAAGAGTATATATATTCAACTATATTTATCCATATAAATCCACATTTATCTTACGTTAGCTAACACGAAAGAAAGTAAGAATTTTATGTTTTTCATCAAAAAGATGTTATACACTGCTTGCAGCTCTGCAAAACGAAATTGTGAAATTCAAGATTTTTCTGTATCTCGCTAAATTTTCAAAGAATATTTCGTCCTGAAATACATATCTCAAACAATATAGAAAATTTTTGTTGACTTGATTTTCACGGGTCAACTTCTGGTCGAAGAAAAAGAAGAAGCAACTCTGGCATGAACGTTTCTCAGCCTTGTGATACATTGATTTATCTTCATTTTTCTCTCTTTTTCGCATCCTGCTCACACTTTTGATGCTTATGGAAATGTAGTTGGCGCAGTGTATCGCATAAAAATCGGTTGAATAAAATCTTACAAAGCGTAAGTTCTCCGTGTTTCTATACGAAAAAAGATATATTCTTTGAACGTATAAAAAAGAGACAGTCAATATAAAAATATTTTTAAATATAAACAAAGTAAAATCAACAGCATGAATAACAAAAAAATTTATTATAAATTTGGATGAAATTCTTCTGTTATTTTTATCTGTTTATTTTATATATTAAGTTATATTATATCTACAAAATCCATTTTCCACTTATTTCTTAATTAAATTACAAATAAATATTTTTGGTATTTCAAGTTTAAAATTATATTTTTTACACAGGTTTTTAATATAAACAGAATCGTGAAATTATTCAAAAATAAACAACTAAAAAAGTATCAAATTGAATTAAAGTCTATAGTTATCTCAAAAATCCAAATTTTGTAAATCGCAAGTTTATGCGAAATTACGAATTATCAAAGAGAGTTTAAGCAATAAGCTCTATATCGAAAATTAAAATCAGTGTTTCATAAATTACTTTTAAGCTTATTCGGTTTTCCGCCCGTTTCTATCCGATTATCATCGGTAAAAGAAAGCAAAAAAAAAAAAGGAATGGAAAATCTTCTTTACACTGGCATGATTGAATTGGTATGTGCAAACTGATATAAATCTCGCTGGTAATAAAATTGCTTTAACAAATCCACCCGATATTTCTTTGCTACTGCAGGTGTACATTTCGATACGAGCAGTGAGAGTTTGGTAAGCGAAATCACCACGGCAATCAAGGTCTACGCTTATGGTGTCGAGGACTTTGTCAATGATCCGAAAAATGCGAATCGAAGTCTGAACACTCAATTGAGCTGCGAAGGCGTCGGTGAATCACGATGGAGCACAGGGGATCTATTTTTCAAGTAATTTCACATAATTTGCTAAAATGTGGATAGATTTGTTCATGCATCATTCATGCGGAACTTTCTAAATAGCAAGACTCAAATTTTCTTCAAATGGTATTATAGGAAATTTTTACAAACTTTGTAATAAATTAACAGAATTTTGTAAAAATGTTCGAGAATTATATTCTCGGGATAATACAGTATTTTATTTATTTTATGTAATGTTACAAAATGAAAATGTTTACTTTATTAAATGATTTAAATTTATTACACGTTACTTAATAAATTTAATATTATAATCTTATTATATAAATATATGTATATACATATCGCATTTAATATTTTATAATATATCTTTCAATATAATTTTTATAAAAGCTTACAGTTCTTGCTTTGTACATTATAGCACATTGTATCTTTCTCTCTCTCTCTCTCTCTCTTCAGATATTTGAAGAACGTTTCGGTCGAGGGTGATCAAGGAAAGCCAAACGTAGAGTTCACTCAAGATGGTGTGTTAAAGGCGGCGGAGTTGAAAATTATGAACCTTCGACCAGGAGTTAGCAAACAGCTCGTCTGGGAGGAGGTAAGTTCAAATCATCTGACATGCCAACCACGAAACTTTATCTTCTGGAAGCTATTGTTAGACGCAACGCGAGATGTGATGCATCTTTGAATGTTCAGAAATAAATACATGAAGACGAACGAATAATTAAATCAAAGCGCCGAATATCAAGATTAGAACCTTCACGGCACCCTCGCCAAACGAAACTGAATATTTTATTACGATGCCATTAATGCAAACGAAACGTTTGCATATATTTGCATAAAGTTGTATAACAGAAAGAACTTTTAGTATAAAAATTGGGTTAAAGACACACTAATTTTCTATTATATTCTAGCGAAGAAAAATACTTATACGCTGAAAAAAAACTTTTTTGGTCAGCGAATTATTATGACATAAAAAATAGGAATATCAAAAGTTAATAAATTTTTTATTTATTATATAAGATCTTTCTAATTATATATTTATGAATTAGACAAATTTTTACTAGAATCAAATATATATTTTATAAATACATGTTAAGAAAGGTTACGAACCAAAAAAAACAACATAAATATGTGAATAAAAGAAAACAATATAATTATCAAGAATTAAAACATATTAATAACAAACGTCGTTTCGAGCCCGATCGGGGCTCTTCAATGTTACATAAAAACATATGTACAATTAAACGGTTCTGCTAATATAACAAAATAAATTACAAAACATCTGATGTGAACTGGTCACTAAATTGTTAGCTGTAAATTCGCATTCTGTCGTTAATTTGATTCTACACTGTTAAATTTTATAGGGTCAAATTAACTTAATGCGAGTAGCCACTGCTTCTACTAAATATATCGTTATTTTTAACTAAAATGATAATTAAATTTGACACTATATAATATTAAATTGATACTGTATAGTATCAAATATAACCATTGTTTTAGTAAATAATAACGATATTATTGAGTAGGAGCAGTGGCGGCTCACATTAAGTTAATTTAATCCTATAAAATTTAACACGTCCGCAATGATATAGCGTGTAATTGTATATGTCAAAATAATAAACTCCTTATTTGATATCATAGTGCGTAAAATATTCACAAGCATCGTAAATTCAAAAATATCAAGTTAAATTCTATAAAAATAGTCAGAACAAAAGGTACATTATAATATCTAAATCAATAAAATGGCAAGAATAATAAGTACATTGATATAATATATAAAGCAATCAACGTCCATCTATAGAATTAAAAATACAATATAATCTTATGATAATAATTATCTTTAAATTATAATATTACAGTGTCCAATAATAAAAATTTCTTCGCATCTGTTCTAATACAAAAACTTTTCACCAAGTTGGTACACTTAATTCGACATTAACATAAGACTACAATTTTGAGAAGCAGTATTGTAAAGAAACGTTTCTATTGTCTGGCTGAGAAACACAAAGTGAAGGAATCGAAAAAGTGGGAGGTTATAAATAGAGAGAAAGGGAAAACAAGAAAATAAGAAGGAAGAAGATTAGGAGAGGGAAAAAGGTCGTATGATAGGAAGATGGGAATCATGTAACGATTCAGATTCACTTTGTTTATTTAGACCCTGGCTTTGCTTTTTAATATGAACCATTTCAGATATTAACCGTTTGTTATAGGAAGGTTCATTATCGAGGATTTTAACACTACTCTAATCAAAATTATGGTTGCAATCAATACGGAGGTTCGTGATAACATTTGGAGAGTCCGTTTTTTTATTTATGTCTGACTTATGTTCTTGCAATCTAGTTTTTAACTTCCTCTTTGTTTGACCCATATAACTGACATCCTTACAAAATATTTTATATACCACACCTTGATGTGATAAAAAATCTAATTGGTCTTTACCTCTTTTTATATAATTATTTAATGTGTTCGGAATGGAATAGGCCAATTTGGAATTCATTTTAAAGGCAATAGGTCTAAAGCTTTTAGAGACTGATTTGACATACGGTATGGTGAAAAATTTGTCAACAGAAATTTCTTTTTTAGGAAAATAAGAAATATGAGAGTTTTTGCATTTACGAATATAAAAAAGGAGTCTGTTATGAATCGTGGAGCATATGAAGTGGAGAGAATAGCCATTTTCTAAAAACATGTGAACAGCTTCTATAAGATTATGTTCTTGACATTTTGGGTGAGACAATAATATGATCTTATCTAAAGCCCCTATAATAACACCTCTTTTATGACATAAAGAGTGGTGAGAATGGAAATTGAGCAATTTCCGAACATGTAGGTTTCTGAAATCTATTAAAAACAATTCTATTATCTTCAACAATTATATAGTCGTGTATAAAATATTTAATCTGCCTTGAGTACCGCGATTTTAATGGTAAACTCTAACTATATATTTTATATGTTTCTAGTCGATGTTTATAGTCGATGAAAAAAATTTTCCAGTGAAATCGTAGTTAAATAAAACAAAATGAAAAATAAACTCACAGGTGCAACATTTCGTTAAATCAAAACTGTCGAAAAAAAGAATAAAAATACGCAATGGGCGGAAAGTTTTTTTTTTGCTGTGCACGAGCCGGCTTCAAACTGAAGAAGCGTTATCGAGTAAAAATGTAGAATTTATCGCCCTCGCTGTCGAAAAGGCTCAAAGGGGTCACGCTATATATAACTTCGTGATCGTCTCTTTCGTTACATTGGATTTACGGAGCTGAAGCCGCGGAATTGCGGTAAACTTTAACTTCCTTTTGCATCCGGCGCCGATGACGTTCCTTTTGCAATCTGCTCATCTGCTGCGGAGAACCGCAGTGTTACGCTATTAATCGGCCGAATAACTTCATATCGTAATCCGTCTCTTTTACCGTTTTCATTATGCGGCGCTAGATCATTCGCGATAATAAATTAATGTGACAGTGCAGGCTTTCATTAAGTCTCATTGAACCTATCACAGCGCACGAAGGCATACTCTGTTTAGCTGATGCTTTCTAGATATTGTCAGACCTGGATAGCTCATAATCGCGTTATGAAATGCTTTGCGAGATATTTCAGGACGCATCCGTTTCCTTCATAGAAATGGTAACACGATTGTCACGTACGCAGCAGTGGAGGTACTACTGCGTGGTGCTTTGTGGTAGATAAAACTAATATAGCATCTCTTAACGTGCGCAGTGGAAATTTTCGACGAGGAAGATATTATGTTAGGAAAATTTTCTTTTCTCTGAAGTTTATGATAAGTTTTGCATAAAATATTAGATACTAGAAAATTTATGATTTTCAAACGGCCGTAAACGTAATTTAAAAAATGTTAAATATATTTATACTATCTCTCTTATCATTATATTTTTAATTACTATTGCTATATTTTCATCAGTAATATTTTCGAAAATTTAATTTTATTATTAATTAAATAGTTACCGTTGAATTAACTAACTAATTTATCAAAATATCGTGTTCTGATAAATTATACAAAATAAGTGTGACATAAAATGTTTCGTAATTGGATTTCTGCACAATCTTTATTCAGCATATTTTTTCAAAATTAGCATCATATTGTAATGTATTATTGAGTGTCCGTTGAGATTTTTACTACGTTCGCAAATTTTACAGTGGTATCGAGTTTCACAAGTTTGATGGGAATTTCGTTAGAAATGCCAGCGAAGTTTAACTCCACCTTTCGACATTCCTCTCGTGACACGAATCCATCTTTGTTCAGTGAACCGTTTCATTCAGGAAATTCTTTCGTCACCTCATTAAAGTTTGAAACGCTTGCGTTGTGAAAATCACGACGTCTCGACACAGACAAGAATTTATCATCCATCCGCTTCAGTAAATTCGTCATTTGTGAAGAATGAGCTTACCATCAAGATAGACTTTTTTTGTCGAATAGCTGATAAAACTTTTATACTATGTGCTGGCTATTCATAATATATTATGATCCGAGTGCCGGTGGTCCACTCTACTTTAAAACATTGTTCTATTATTGATGTTCGATTAACTCTAGAAAGTCTCGAATCTTTTTGATGTAATACTATTTTTATAGTCTAGAAGTCCATAACAACATTGAAAAAAATATTAGAAATGCATTTATTATTCTTTATTATGTAAATATTATTTACAATACTTATAAAGCTAACTTAATCGTATGTTACTTCTTTCTATTATCACCATTTTTCATAAAAAAATAATATAAGAACGCGACACAATAACCTACAACCTTTTGGCATCTCACAAGATCAATTATTTTTCAAATTGCGCTTTTCTAGAACTTAGCTCTACGACAAGATAAAAAAAACCTACAAGATTTAAATTAAGATACCATATATATCATGTTTATCGAAAATGATGTTGACATTTCGTGTTTTGTTTAGTAACCCTTACCGTACCATGTACAATTTGGTGCCTCATCCATACTATCAAGGGTCACTAGAATCTCTTCGTTTTTTCACCTCTTCAAAATAATTCAAAAAATCTCTAAAAATTCACCAACAAACTTTCAACTTTTTAGAATAAATATTGACACTTTATTTTGGAAAATAATAAAATGTAGTGTATATATATAATTTATAATTACTGAAAAAAACTTGCACGAACAGGAATCGCTCGGTCACTAGTTATCCATATTAGTACGGTAAGGGTTAATCAATGCAAAAATGATCAGGTAGAAATTAACGGTGCAAGTTTTAATGCACATAAACCTCTATGCGTTTACATTTTTAATAAATTTCTAAAAGCTTTTATAGCAAGTATAATTATAATTATGAATTAATAATTTTTCATATAAATTAATAGCCATTTTACAGAAAATCTATGAAGTATGTAACATAATAAGAGTTAGGAATATTATGAAATAGGTTTAAGAGATCTTTTATCTTTTTAGGGTCTAATCTGAATGCGTGATAAACATATTATAAACTTTTTTTACAAGAATCCTCTTATAAAAACTTCTTATAAGTAAAAGAGTCCAGAAATGATAATTTTTTAGTTAAATTTCGAATATTTTTATAAAAATGTTTTAATCTTAATAATATAGAACACGTTTATATAATATTT